AACAATCGCGGCCAACTCCAAATCGTGCACAGGATAATTCTTCTCATGGATCTTCAGCTGACGCGAAGCATATGCAATAATTCGCCCTTCTTGCAACAATACACACCTAAATCCAACGCGTGAAGCGTCACAATATACCATATACATCCCTGAATCGGAAGGCAACACAAGAACTGGTGTTGTAGTCAAGGCTGTCTTGAGCTTCTGAAAGCTCGCCTCACAATCATCAGACCAACGAAAGGGAGCACCCTTCTGGAACAATCTAGTTAGAGGTGATGCAATAGATGAAAAGCCCTGCATGAATCGTCTGTAATAACATGTTAACCCCAGAAAACTCCTGATCTCGGTCACCAAAGTAGGACGTGGCCAACTCTGAATTGCCTCAACCTTCTTGGGGTCCACCTTAATACCCTCTCCTGACACAATATGCCCCAAAAATATCACTGACTCTGGCCAGAACTCACATTTGGAGAAATTAGCATATAGCTTCTGCTCTCGCAAGGTCTGAAGCACTACCCTCAAATGATGCTCGCGCTCTCCCAGGCTATGAGAGTATATCAAGATGTCGTCAATGAAGACGACGACAAATGAATCAATGTAAGGCCTGAATACCCTGTTCATCAAGTCCATGAATATTGTTGGGGTATTAGTCAAGTCAAAGGACATCACCAGGAACTCATAATGGCCATATCTAGTCTGGAATGCAATCTTCGGAACATTTGAGTCCCGAATCTTCAACTGATGATATCCTGACCTTAAGTCAATCTTGGAGAACACCCTGTCACACTGCAACTGGTCAAACAAATCATCGATAAGAGGCAACGGATACTTGTTCTTGATGGTGACTTTGTTCAACTGGCGGTAATCAATGCACATCCGCATAGTCTCATCCTTCTTCTTCACAAATAACACTAGTTCGCCCCAAGGCAATACACTGGGTCTTACAAACCCCTTTGCTAACAACTCCTCAAGTTGCTCCTTCAACTCCTTTGGAGCCATACAGTATTGTGGGATATATACAGGATGGGTGCCTGGAGCCAAATTAATACAGAAATCAATATCATGATCCGGTGGCATGCCAGGAAGATCAAAAGGAAACACATCGGCAAACTCTCGAATACTGGAACTGAATCAATCTTCGAAGACCCTATAGTGGTATCCCGAACATAAGCCAAGTAAGTCAAACACCCCTTCTCGACCATATGACGAGCCTTTAGGAAAGAGATAACCCGGCTAGATGTATCAACTGTGGAATCCTTCCACTCCAACCTTGGCATCGCTAAAGTAATAGTCTTGGCATGGCAATTTAGCACGGCATGATACAGAGATAACCAATCCATGCCCAGGATGATCTCAAAATCGATCATATTGAGCAACATGAGATCTTCTCTAGTCTCGAAACCACAAAGTGTGACCACATAAACTGTAGATCTAATCCACAACCATAGAATCGACCATAGGAGTGGACATATGAACAGGAGTGCCCAAGGGCTTAAGAGCAATAACCAGAAAACGAGCAAACAGAGATGACACATATGAATAGGTAGAACCTAGATCAAATAATACCGAAGCATCTCTACCGCAGATGGAAATAATATATGTGATGACGACATCTGAGGCCAATGCATCTGGCCTAGTTAGAAGGGCATAAAATCTGGCTGGAGCGCCGGCTGGCTGGCCTCCACCTGACTAAGCAGTAGCTGGCTAACCTCTCCTGCCTAGCCTCTACCTCTAGGACGACCCCTACTAGTCTGCCCTCCACCTATAGGTGGCGGGGCAGCTGGTGCAGAAATCATAGGCTACTGACCCTGCAACACTGCCTTGCCCCGAAGCCTGGGGCAGTATCTCCTCATATGACCAAGGTCTCCGCACTCGAAACAACCCCATGGTGCGGTGACCTGCTGCCTTGATGGCTGACCCTGATGGCCTGTAGACCCACTGGAAGAAGCCTGAATAGCCGATGGATGGTATAAACTCTCTGGCATAGCACTAAAATAAGAATCAGAAGAACCATGTGGACCTGAATACCCGCCGGAGGAACCCTGAATAGCTGGTGGGCGGTAAGAACTCTCCGGCATCGCACTAAAATATGGTCTTACTAGAGTAGCTCGGGGAGGTGGTGGTGGTGCTGAATACGGGGTTCTGTTGGGCTGATCCCTCCCAAAGTGACCTCTACCCCTAGCTGGCACACCTCTGAACTCTCCCAAAAATCGGGCCCTCTTGTCTTGTTGAATCTGCTCTCTACCCCTCTGGCGATATCCATCAATCCTGCGAGTAATCTCCACCACTAGCTGATACTTAATACTCATCTCCACCTCTCGGGCCATGCTAGCTCGAATACCGGGGTGCAACCCCACAACAAATCTCTGCACTCTCTCTGCATCAGTGGGAAGTATCATTAGTGCATGACGAGACAACTCAGAAAACCTCGCCTCATAATCAATCACAAACATCTGACCCTGCTCTAGATGCTCAAACTGATACCGCAGCTCTTCCCTCTCAAAGGGTGGAATGTACCTATCCAAGAATACCTATGTGAACTGACCCCAAGTGAGGGAAGGGGAACCTGCTGTCCTGCCAAGAACACAAGACTACCACCATCTATAGGCCCTGCCCTCTATCTGAAAAGTAGTAAAGTCAACCCCATGCGACTCCAATATACCAACGTCTTATACCAACCACTGCACGACAGGAAATGAATAAAGAGTAGTTTTCCTAACACCTTATAGCCTCTCGAAGATAAATACAGACGTCTCCATATCGATCCGCAAGACTCTATTAGGTACATAGCTTGTGAGACCTACATGAGCCTAGTGCTCTGATACCATGTTGTCACGACCCATTTTTCCATAATAGGTCATGAGGGCGCCCAACACCGTTGTCAGGCAAGCCAACGTGGAAGTATTAGTGAATTCTTATTTTACTTACCCAAACAGTTACAACATTTTTCTTAATTTGCAATTAAAAGCAGGTGATAACATGCAACATTCAATAATAATTAAACAATCCAAAAGAAACGTCTATATGTGTGTGTCAAGACATGGTGTCACAAGCTGTGGGCAACTAGTAGAATATATAAAATAATACATCTATCCTACTGTGTGAAATAGAATAGACAGTCAAAAGTAAGGAAGACTCCATCCAGCTGCTGATCGGCACACAAAGGGAAGCAACTCATCGTGAAAGTCTCGGACTATGATCAGGGACGCGCACCGGTCTGATAGTCAGATGAACCTACCTCAGAACCTGTACAATTAAGTACAGAAGCGTAACATGAGTACATAAATAATATGTACTCAGTAAGTATCCCGTCTAATCTCGAAGAAGTAGAGACGAGAGGTCGACTTGATACCTACTAGGGCCAAATAATATAATATGATATTTATGCAGGCATGATGGTCACAATATATAACAGTTGAAATAAGTATTTCTAAGTCATGTCATTTTAATANATTTATGCAGGCATGATGGTCACAATATATAACAGTTGAAATAAGTATTTTTAAGTCATGTCATTTTAATACCCCAGCTAATCCTTTACAATGTAAGCCATGTATCAGGCAGGTCATTAATAATAAATTCACATAAATATCATGTGCACGTTATTCTGAGGTCAATGGTCTGATCCAACATAAAAGAAACTGTGCACTGCCAGAGGGTCGAATGACACGAACCATAGATGCATCTATTTCTACCGAGGCGATCGGTCCGATCCCGAAATATCAATTTTCAACAGAAAAATACAAGAAGGTGCATTTATATTCAAATAAACTCATACTAGTGTTCAACACAACATATGTTCACTTATGTTCATTTCCAATTCCCTAGCATATCCTAATGATCACATTAACAAGAAGATATATAACATTTGCAAATATAGCATGACACGGGTCCTAAACTACCCGAACAATTAACATGATAGTAGCTACGCCCGGACACTCGTCACCCAGTGTTCAACACAGCATATGGTCACTTATGTTCATTTCCAATTCCCTAGCATATCCTAATGATCACATTAGCAAGAAGATATATAACATTTGCAAATATAGCATGACACGGGTCCTAAACTACCCGGCAATTAACATGATAGTAGCTACGCACGGACTCTCGTCACCTAGTGCATATATAGCCCCCGTATTTAGTATCAAATCATACAATTATTATTCCTATGGGGACAATTCTCTCATACAAGGTTAGAAAGGAGACGCACCTCACTCCAAAGTGCACTTCCAATACCAAGAACGAGCCCGAACTATCCAAAACTAGTTAAATGGGGTAAGAACTAGTCAATGAAAGCTCATAAGATCACATCCTAACTATTAAAGCAATTTTCCAGTTTTAAACACAAGTTTTCTAAAATCCGACCCCAAGCCCACGTGCCCGGATTAGGAAATTTTTCGAAGAAAGTTGTTCTTTGTAACCTAAGGATCAATAATATATAATTTCTACTTCGCTTCATACCCGATCTCATGGAAAAATCTAAGTTTTATCAAAATCCTAGGTTTTGCTCTAACCTCATGATTTTACCTAAATCCTAGTGTTTAATCTATCTAAGACACAAGTATTAAACTAAGAATAGGTGGGATAAACTTACCTCAAGATGCTAGGTGGAAGTCTTCTCTCAAAAGCTCCCAAAATTGCCAATGAAGGAGTGAAAAGTGGCAAAAATGACTTAGAACCCGTATTAAATGAAGCTCACTGCTTCAACGATTTCCGCATTTGCGTTTCCGCTTCTGCGAGAAATTGGGCGCATCTATGGAACCGGCCAAGCGGGCTGCGACCGCTTCTGCAATATTGAAGCCGCTTCTACAGTTTTTGGCCTAGCCTACCTTGGCCGCATCTGCGATAGGCGGTCCGCACCTGCGGTCGACCAACCGCAGGTGCGGTTATGACAAAAGCAGATGCTTCAACACTTCTCAACATTTCCAACTTCACTCGAGCCTCGTCCGATTGACGCTCGAGGCTCCCGGGCCCCGCCCGAACATAGCGAAAAGTCTGAAATCATGAAACGGACCTACTCGAACCTTCGGAACGCCCAAAACAACGCTAAATCAAAGAATCACTCCCTAAAACCAATTGAATTTTCCTCTAATGAGCCGAAACGCCCTTAAACTACTCGAATTGACACCAAAATTTGCGGGCAAGTCTTAAATGTTATATTGGACTTGTACCGGGCTTCGGAACCAACATACAAGTCTGATACCCATGTGATTAATCATTATTTAGTTTCTTTAAATCCTTAGAATTTCAGTTTAACATTTTCTAATAAAAATTCTTTACTCGGCCTAAGGACCTCGGAATTCGATTCCGGGCATACGCCTAGGTCCCATATTTTCCTACGGACCTTCTGGGATCGTCAAAACACAAATTCTGGTTTGTTTGCTTAAAATGTTGACCAAAGTCAAACTTAGCCTTTTAAGAAATCTTAAGGAATCAAATAAGCATATTCCAACCCAAATTCTTCCAATTCCTGAACCAACCATCCCCGTGGGTCATAAATTCCTTAAAGCAAGCGCGAGAAGTTTTATTTAGGGGAATAGAGTTCTAAAAATTAAAACGACCAGTCGGGTCATTACACATATACTAGGTGACGGGCGTGTGGGCGTGTACCGTGATAATTATGACTCGGTTGGTTCTGTGGTACTGTATAGTCATCTAATCTTGTTTCTATCCATGAATTTTTTACATTTTAGAGTAATTGAGTTGTGATCCATGTTAGAAATCATGTTTAGGCTATATACTTAATCCGTTGGGGCCCACTAAGGTCATTTCTGTTGTTGAGTTATTTGCTTAAATTACAACTATATATTTAGTTATATTCATTTATTTGCATATCATATCTCAGTCTCGGTTATTATTTACTGTTACATCCCATTATCATTGTTTGGGCTAAGTGGTACGAGATATGTGAGCTCATGAGACTGGAGAGATTGATGACTGAGTTGGAGCCTGAGAGTCGTGTTGTGAGTGATGTTGTGGATCGAGTTGCATGCCGCAGCAAGGCTTATTGGCTTTATATATATTATTATTATGGATCAGGCTGCATGTTACAACAGGCTTTATAGGATTTATCTATTATTATGGAATCGGGCTACACGCCGCAGCAAGCCATATTGGCTTTATATTAGCGCTCGGACGATATCTGCCCCTCCGGAGTCTGACATACTAGCACCGAGTGCATATACCATACAATGCTGAGTCATTGAGTATTCTGAGTGATTGAGAGTGATGAGTGGGAGTATGAGACAGTGAGATTGAGCACTCTGAGAGTGTGAGCACATGAGTTTATTACTTTGATGCACTACATGTGACATACACATTTGACATGTACACGTAGAGCTGTAATATTCCTCATACAAGCTATACTTGACATATGTTATCAATATTGAGCTTAAATTTTTGAACTTGAAATCATGTCTTCATTTCTGTACTGTGTACGAATTGGTTATAGCATTTCTCTGAGTTATTACTATCATTTTCCTGTTGTATCAGTACTACTATTATCTTGATTTGAACTGTACCTTTATAAGCTCGTCACTACTTTTATCCCAAGGTTAGTCCTATTATTTATTGGATACATTGGGTCGATTGTACTCATACTATACTCTGCATCTCGTGTGCATATCCAGGTACATCTGGACCCAGTGGTTGCTAGACTCGGAGCAGTATCTGCCAGGAGACTATTGAGGTAACCGCTATGACGCCCGCTGACCTTGACTCTCCTTCCTTTTAGTGTTATTCTGTACTGTTCAATTTTTCAGATAGTTGTATTGAAAATTTAGACGGTGTTGACACTTAGTAGCTCATGTACTTCGTGACACCCGGATTTTGATGAGATTTTATAGTTGAGTCGCAGTTGTTCTTATCGATTATTTATGAGATTTTTTACTGTTAAACTTATTAAATCATGCTTTTAATTTTAAATGCGTGGTTATTTTGTGATTGTCGGCTTGCCTAGTACTGTGATAGGTGTCATCACAACATGTTGAGATTTGGGTCGTGATATAAAGGAGTCAAGGCTTAAAATTTTAATAGACATGAATTCTAAGAGGTGAAACAAAATTAACACTTTGACATGGTAAATTCTTATAGTCATCGTAACTAAATGTTGAAAGAATGCCCCTTTAAAGTTCCTTATTAAGTAACATGGTCAATTAATCTAGACATACATTTAATTACTTTTTCTAACCATCTTGTTTCTACGATATTCGAACTAGGAAAGAGCAAATTTATAGTCATTAAAGCAAAGACATAATATCAGTAAGCTTATTTATTCATATAACCAATTAGTTTGACTTCTTATTTTATTTCAAGCTTTATGCAAACAGATACATATAAAAAATCTTGATCGTGATTTTTATAGCAGTTAACTATAATTTACATTTTCGAGTAAATAGACAAACATTCCAGATCTTTAAATAAATATTTCAAAATTACTAACATTTTGTGGTGCAGGAACTAGGGTCGCATCAAGGTCTGATATCTCCGGCCTCTACTCCGCAATCTCGAACGATCGTCAAACCCTGAAACGAGCCCAACACCTAGTTAAACAAAACCAGTAGAGGCTGACCAAAATGAGCCCTTAAAATGTAGTTCTAATGAGTAAAATGAGAGAAGAATGGCAAGGACAAGAGTCTAAAAGTGGCAAGTAAATAAGGTGCTGAAAATCTCAACCAAGACTGATATTTATAGGAGATGAATTAGGACTCTTCTAGGGTTAGTTTGGGCAGAATTTTAAGGTTTGAAATCGGGTCAAAGGACGTTTGAATTTTGAACGTTGGGTGGTCTTCCATGGTATGTCCATTTCAAGGAAAAAGAAAGAGAGATAATAGGGAAATTCAGAGAACTAAAATAAAAAAAAATAACCAAATTAGCGTATACCTTTTAATATGGCAGAGATACGCCATAGAAATGCCCAAAACAGTGATATTACCGACTGCTATGTGAGGATTCGATTTGTTTTGGGGTGAAAAAATAGCAATGCATCTACAAACAAGCAAAAATAAAAGCGAAAAGAGATCTCCTTTGTTCGAAATAGGCACGCAAGGTTCTAGTCTTGGGCTGTGGATGTCAAAACTTGGTTAAAAATAGAGATAGAGTCAAATCTTGGCTCTACCATCGCAGAGAAAGAGAGGAAGAGAGAGACAAGGAAATGACTAGGGTTTCTCAGTTAAAATCATCTTAGCCTTAGGATTAAAGATTGACGGTTCAGATTATTCTAAAAAGTTATACAAAAAGGAAAAGAGAAGGAATACCAATATTAAAATTATATGATTTCTAGAAAGGTCTTAACGGTTTAATCCCAGCCATATATTTAAATAGCCTTGGCTTTGGATGGCGACACGTGGATGGAAGAGTGGAGATGTGCGTGAGGGATGTGTTTGGCGTGTGCTTTGGTATGTAGGGGCGTGTGCTAATTGTGTGTATGTGATCGTTGGTGCCTATGTGGCACTGACACGATGCTTATATGGTGTCTACATGGAAGTGAGAATAGAGTAGAGGGCTGGTGGGTATGGGCCTCTGATTTGAACTATTTTTTGGGCCAAGTTGGTTGACCTAGGGGAACTAGAAATCTGAAAATATATTCTAAGAATTGCCCCTTTTGAATAACATTTGCTTTAACAAGATGGGCCAATTTTACTTAGTCCTTTTTCACTTTAAATTTCACTATACTTTCATAATTCTAATAATTTATAATAACATATTATTTTTTATAGTTATAAAATTAATGCATATATTTATATAATAAATCATTATTAACAAATAATTCTTGTTTGCATAATAAAATGATGGTGATTGATTAAATAACTAAAATAATGATAATATTATAATAAGACTAATATTTACATTTCTTCACTTTAAAAAATCTTGCGATTATAAAAATCAATAAATATTTTGGATAAAACAAAGTCAAATATATTTAGTAAATTATTAAGAATTTGGAAGCATAGAGAAATTGATTAAGGAAAAGGAGGGCCAAAATTGATCATTGAGATCGGACATTTTATCACTTGCAGCCCATACTCTTGAACAATTTTGGAGGCAACAAAGGTGTGCGTGGCTCTGGTATCAACCATAGTCACGACACTCTTGTTTTTGATTTTAAATTCACATACATTAGTGTGGAATAAGCATCAGTCAAATCATCCGATGTAGCATTCACGTATGCAACTTCTTCCTTGGGAGCATTTTCTTTATCATCCGCCATAGTTGCACAAGCCAAAATGTTCAACAGCCGCAATGGATTTACATAAGCAAAAACTTCCTGTCCCTTTCCTTGTTTCTCCTCTCTAGCAAGAAAAGCATTTATCTTTCCATGATTTGGACAGTTTCATACATGATGTCCTGGTTTTTGATATGTCCAGCGAACCTTTTCACTACCCGTTGGCCGTTTGTTTTTTATGAAGAAGTTGTCATCTTCCCTTTGCATTTGTCATTTCCATCATGCTTCTGATTATCATTCTTCCCGTCCTTACTCTTTTCATTTTTATTTGACTTAGAAGAAGAGGCAGGATCAGAAGTTAGACCCGTTGAGCAAAAAATTACCAATGCGTCTGCAGCCACAATTGCATTACAAAGATCTTTAACTTTCTGCCTACGAATTTCGTTTTATGCCCAGCCTTGCATTCCAGAAATGAAATAATGCAGCTTATCCTCATCCGACATGTTTTGGATGTCTAACAACAAGGATGAAAAATCCTTCACATAGTCTTGCATAGAACCAGTCCGTCTCAACCGCTTCAAGCGATCCCTTGCAATCCAAGACGAGTTGCTAGGCAAGATTTATCCCTCATTGTGTCATGCAGTTTTTCCTAAGTATCAACTTTGGGTCTTCCAGTACTTTCATCGTCTGCATTTTTCGTACGCCACCATAGCACTGCATCTCCTCTAAAATAATGCACCACTATGGTCAGTTTGTCCTTCTCTGGGACGTTAGCAGTAGAGAAGTAATGCTCCAAGTCCCATAAGAATTTTTCCAATTCCTTGGCTCCTCTCACACTATCAAATGCCTTTGGCTCTAGAATCTTAACTTTGGTGTGTTCTTCACCTCCTTGGTGCACATTTGCAACAGCCCGCCGAAGGATATGAATTTCCGTTTTAAGATCCTCGTTGTCCATCTGTAACTTTTCCAACTACTCTGCAGTAGATTCGTGGAAAGCCTGCAATTCCACTAGTTGAGTATCAATATTCTCACGAACATGTTGAAGTTCTGTGTTTACACCATGGATCTGCACCAAAATATCCACCACATCCACATCGTCATCAATTATTCCCACCAGCGCATCCAGGTTCTTAAGTCTTTTACGAAGTTCTGCATTTCCAGCCATGATAATTCCAAGATCTTACCGATGTTGCTCTGATACAAGTTGTTACAGGGTTAATTTTTTTGTTTTGACATTGCACAGCAGTCATACAACAATGACTAAGCCCTCTTCCTTTTTCTCTCACATTTTGGTTTAACACTTAGAATATGACAACATATAGAAATCAGACAAGGCACACAATTTACGAAATTTCTTTCCAACTTTGTATTAAACTCGTGCTATAAAGAACACATACAAATAGCTTTACAAAAAAAAGCCAAAGACAGCCAACTTTCTGCGTTGACAAGTCTGCCTAGCCTATGCTAAAGGCAAATATTTTTGACTCACAACCTTATCCTAACCTAGTAGTTGATATTCCCAACTGCAAAGGATTTCAAAATTTGACTTTCAAACAGACAACTACCCAAGCCCCACATAGCCACTCTTGCTGAAAAATAGGAAACTACCCAACTGCCTTGCATGCACGTGGCACATGGGCGCAACCTTTGAATTTTGGCGCCAATCAGGTCAACTCTTGTCATGTCTTCGCGCCATGCCATTGTGCAGCATGCCTTGCGCGCTTGTCTGCCAATCTGCATGCCCAACTTGCCCATGACACTGCCTTGCTCGCGTCCATCTGCCTTGTCATGCCCTGTCATAGCTTGCCTTAGTTTTTCCAGCCCTTGCGATGCTTTTGCCACCCGTTGTCTTTGCCTTGCCATGGTCTTGTCATGCCTTGGAACCTAAGCCACATGCCATCGTATCATAGTCAATGCCCATCAACACATGCCGATGTCGGACAGTCTTGTCAACATGATGCCACAGTCATCATAGGGTCGTGCCGAGGTCCATCATGTAAATCCCTCGTCAAACCCATGCCATGTTCGATCAATCAAGCCGAGGGGATAACACTAGGAGTTTATTGGACTTTAGGAACATAATCATAGGAGTTCAACGCTCTCTCTCCTTTTTTTTTTCTTTTGGCTTCCCTCAATTACTCTCTTTGAAAGATCGTGTCAAAGCTAATTGGCATGTAAATAGGAATTTTTCTAAGAGGAAAAATGATAGAAAAAGAAGGTAAAATAAACCTATACACATCCGACGTTTACACCAAACTATACTAATTTATCACGGTTAAGTGATAAATTTAAGTGATAATGTGTATTAATTAACTATGGTTTAGTGATTAACATGTTTATGAAAATATGTGGCATATATTTATTGAGTTGATGTAAACATTGGGTATGGGTGATAATGAGGGTGTTTGGCTAAGCTTATAAGCTTGTCAAACTAGCTTATAAGCACCTTTTGGCTTATCTACGCATTTGGTAAATATCCAAAGTACTTATAAGCCAAGTGCTTATAAGCTAAAATCAGCCATAAGTCATAAGTTAGTTACCCCCAACTTATGGCTTTTTAGCTTATAAGCATTTTTAGTTTGACCAAGGTTTTACTAGTTTATCCTTAATAATATTTTCTAATTCACAAAATATTTTTCCCAAAATAAATTTTCTAATTTTCTTTTCATTCCATATTCGTTGTTGATCTTTTTCTTTACAAAGAAACTCTTTAATTTATAATCTTTTATAAAGTTTCTAAGGATATTTTAGTCATTTTAATAAAAGAACAATTTATCATCACTTTTCTACCAAATACATCAACTGCTTATTATCAGTTTCAGCATATTTATCCAAACACGTAAATGCTTAATTGAAAAATCAGATTCAGTACTTAAAAATGCTTTTCGGTACTTTAAGCTTATCAGTTATTTACAATCAGTTAATGCAAACGTGCTCAATGTCGCTTCCTATTTTAACTCCTTCAACGCTTCAAATAAGGTTCTTGAGTGACCAACCCAACATACTTGTGATATTTTCTTGGACCTAGTAATTGGAGGCGGTGTTTTGAAACTTCCTAGTCAGTCCATTTTTAAACTATGTTTAACCAGACGTTGATTAAATTCTTATAATGATCTTTAATGATCCTCCAGTTTCTATGATGCTATATCTTAGGGATGTTATTTTATGAGAACATATGTGATCATATTTTCACCAGTAGGCTAATGGAAGACTTCTTTGTCATCGTACGTATAAGTACTTTAGGCCATAAAGCAGCTTGTAGCATTAATATTCTTCACATAGTAGCTTAATTATTTCTTCATATTTAACCTCATCGATAATTATTTATCAACTAATTGTTCTAAATTGTTATTTCCTGGAAACAAGAAAAAATAAATCAAAGAAATCAACTCCTTAATTTATAATGCAGTATAAACTTTTAAGATATGAAACTTTCCATGCAGTATTACAATCGAAAAGAGAAATGAGAAATACAAGAATGAAACAAACAACTAATGTGACATAGTCTTAATTATTTGATACACAATAAAAGGAATGACTACCTACAATTAATCAGATACAGATAAAATAGTAAATTCTGGAACCAAATAAATGATTTGATCGTCCTAATTAATACTCTGAGTATAATCTAATTTGCATAGCTGCACATTCCATAGACACAAGCATTGCCTTTCTGACACTTGTTATTGCAACCCCCACAATGCCTCTTGTGAAACAAAGTGTTAACACACTGCCCTTTACAACAAGTCTCATTATACCTGCATTTCTTCCCACAAAATCCACAATTTTGTTTGTCTGTGAACACATTTACACATTTCTTCTTGCAGCAGAATGGCCCCGGGCTGCCTTTGGCACGACATATTCTAGGGTTCTTGTTACAAGTCATTCTTTTTTGTATTGTTTTTGACTTGTAATAAGGTGATTTTTGTGATAGAAAACGACTAGCCCCTCGAATGGATGATGAACTTTCATCAGTTTCATTTAAGGGGATATCAAATAATTCAGCCATTTCCGCTTCATTGTCATCTTTTAAGGCTATTTCTTCTTCTTTATCGACAGATGATGCTACTGAAAGTATACTGGTTGATGCCATTATCATGGCTAACAAAAAGAAAATTTTCAAATACGTGCTCATGGCTTCTTATGATGGGATGAAAAGAATGCAAATATCAAATATTGTGAAATGACGTTTGGATATGGAAATTGCAGAAGAAGGAAAGAGTATATATAGAAGAAAAGATTTGCATGGATGAACTATTTGACTCCTGTTAGTGGAGTGGTCCTTGTTCACGGCTATGTACAATACATAAAGTCAAATTAAATAGCTAACCAAAATTAGGCACTTCCATATAATACAATGTATTAGATTTCAGTAATATTTCTATATAAGTAGCTGCTATATTTTATAAAAGCCTCCGCATTTAGTTGACAATGTGAAAATAATCTACCGTATAAGATATGCAAATAACATTACGATTTCCTATCGTATTTAATTAAGTAATCATGACTTAGTTTTGTTAAATCTATGTGAATGCCCGAAGCGTTTTAGCAGTATTATTTAGGCAAGGTTTTGACGTGTGTTGACTTTTATATAACTATACTCCTTATAACAGGTACAGAAGCACTAAACTACCAAGCGTATTCTATTTGACTTGAAATATTGTACTAATATTGGAACTTAGGAGTTGACCCATTAATGTATCCAGTTGTTTGAACTTCTATAAATGTCATCGGAACACATAGATTGACTTAATATTATTAAACCAAAAAAAAAAAAAAAACTTAACATTGTTTCCATAAATTTATGGGCTGGCAAAAAATACACAATTCTACCACTCGAGAACTTGCCTGATCCCCAAGTTAACACTACCTAGCTTAGAAGAATTAATTAACTGTTCAAGCATGTTACTTGTGTGTTTACGTTACTAATTTACTTATCATGACAATTACTTATATTTCTCTTGTAAATGATTTGATAGTGTATACTTTTTTTTTTTTGTACTCTGTCATATTTAAAAAAGTTAAAACTCCTTATTTATGTCTCCAACTTTCACAAGTTTTGACGCAAAGTCATTCAGTTAAAAATTCTGAAGATCGAAAATTACTTACGGTAAATTTGAAAAGAAAAAACTACCATTAATCATATCCGTTTTGCATTAGTTGCTTTCTTGTGAGTTGTGAGTACTTTAGTAATTAGACAAAAGATAAATTTGCATATCAATAACAATTATACGTTTCCTCAGAAGTATTATTTTTTAATCCTTATACTGAATTTGAAATTAATTTCGCTCATTGGAAATGTCTTTAACCGTGAGTCGTTTTTGAGTAAGAATTTCGCAGGAAAGTTTGTAGTAGTCTCAATTTTGGTAAAAAGTAAGCTATAGCATTCTCTTCAAAATAAAAATTCTTTCATTAAATCAGTACATCCAGTAGGATATGAGAACCACAATAAAACATAACTATAACCTTATATGCCTAATATAATAGGCATTTATTTGTTCAGACAAATTATTATTGTTCTCTTAACATATGAAAATATAATTGTACTAATGACATAGATAGCTAAGTAATTATTATGCTTTCAAATCCCACAATGCCCTGCGTATTTTTTTCCAAACAAAGTCTTAACACAGAAGCCTCTGCAGCAAATCTCATTGAAGTTGCACTTCTTCCCACAAAAACCACAGTTTTCTTTGTCCATTAAAAAGTTCATGCACTTATTCTTGCAACAGAAGGGGCCTGGACTACCCTTGGCAAGGCATATTTTAGGGTTCTTGCTGCATGTAAATTTGCTTCCAAATATTCTCTCATGAATTCTCCAGAAATGAAAGTTTTCCTTAGCAACAGAATTACCTGCTGTTCCTCGAATTGTTGTTTTATGTGTATCTTTTTTACCGAAGCTAATTGGATCAGCTTTCACTGCTTCAGCCATATCGTTATTGTCTGCTTCTTCTTTCATTAGCATTGTTTGCTCTTGAATTGATGCTGAAAGGGTGGCAGCAAATGCCATGAAAATGGCAAGAAAAACGAAGATAGCTAAGTTCTTCATTATGGGAACTGAAACTTTTTAACGTATACCTTAATTAGTAATTAGGGAAGTATGAGAAGATTGGATGGGTTGTGAAGAAGAAGATGAATTGTATTTATAGATAAACTTTTGCATGGAGCTGTATTAAGGTTCTTGATTAATTATGAAAAAAGCACGACCAACATTCTTTGGATGGAAAGATTGTGACTCACCAAAAAAAGCAAAACTGGTAGAAATGTAGAAAGTAGCGCAGAAGTGATTGATAGACAATATGTTGGTTTTCCATATAAAAATGTCACTATTTTAACTACAAAGTTAACTATAATTCACCAGAAGTACATCTCAAAATAGTTAAAACGATCTTCTGTGATCATTAGTAGTAAACATATATCATGTGATTACTTGGTTTTATTCAGTGTTCTGCATTTTTTTATTTTGTGTGTGTGTGTAACATTGTAACAACAAAGTAACATTGACAGAAATTTAAATTTAAGCAATTCGCAAAGAGAGATACAGGCCCCTCAGTTCTTTATAAATTTTAGTACTATAATCTACCCATTGTCAGTGGAGGCTTTTCTAGATTAGACAGGATATATCATGTCCTTCTTTCAAGACTTAATATAATTACTTGAAATCGTAACATAGATGAGGATGCATAAATATTTTCAGTAGAAAAATGTTGGATTGGGTACACACATATACACACAGTCTAACCCATCATGTACGGTATATATAGTGATTTTATATATTTTAAAAAGTGATATGTCCAATCCTCCGCACATAAAGAGGTTTTATAAATTAATAAATAAATAAATAAAAAAAGCTGTTCTTTTTGAGTTGTTACTCCATATTAAAGATCCATTAAAACTTAATTTGTTTTTTTGGGAATAAAAAATGAACATTATTATCAGTTTCAGACAAGAACATATACTGTAGTGTATACTAACTCTGCTGTATATTATGAACTCAAAGCACAAACAATTATCTTTCGTCTAGTAACAATTTATTTCAAGGAAGCATATGACTTCATCTATATGAGAACTAAATTTATATGTGGCTACACCACGTAATACAACTTAAAATATATTTTTACCATACACACACAAATTTTTCTAACTAGCCAGCAATTGGAACATAATTAGCTCTAAGCATAGTTGCACATTCCATAAGAACAGGAGCTTCCTTTCTTGCATGCATTGTTACACTTTCCACAGTGCCTCTTACTGAAATATGTATTCACACACCATCCTTCGCAGCAAATCTCTGAATATCTACACTTCTTACCACATCTGCCACAGTTAAATCTATCAGTCATAACATTCACACATTTTTTTCTGCAGCAATCTGGTCCAGGACTGCTCTTGGCAGAACAAACTCTAGGGTATTTGTCACATGTGTACATGTTATGACGAGGAGAAGAGCTCTTTCCTCTTTGATATGTTGCATCAAATCTTTCAAGAACTGATTCTTGGCTAGATAGTGAAGGAAAGAGAGTAATGGTCATGGCAATTGAGAGTAGGACAACAAGTAGGAACCTGAACGACTTCATTTTTTGAGCCTAGGGGTTTAATTTTTGTAGATTTTTGTGACTAGCTAGCTCTATGTGAAGATGGAGGAATAATATAATAATGTGGTATTTATAGAGAGGATTATGTACAAATTTGTAAATGGTGGTCTCTATCATAGTCGTTACAGGAAATTTAAGTCAGGCAAGTTTGGCTAAAGAAGGAAAGAAATTGTGTGCAAAACTTGACATATTTTCCAAGAAAAAGGAATAAGGAGATGAACCTTAAAATTGTGGTACGGCAGCTATATGACTAGGATGACTATATATCTTATGATATATCATATAAAAAAACTGGAATTAGTTACGAACTTCGTCGTTAATCTGTTGTTAAATCACTGATAGCTATAATCTATCGCTAAATAAGATTAGCGATAAATTTTTCTGTTTAACTATAAAATTTGGCTGTCGCTATTTTTTCTGGACAAGGATGCTTAAATAGACTTGTGCAAGTATATTGATAAGCTATTAACAGTGAGCCTTTTCTTAATAGGTCGCTACATATAGTAATTATTCCTGTCCAAATGTCAAACCTTCAAATAAACTGGTTGATGCATGGTAGTTTAAAACTTTAAATAAGGTTCACGAATGAGCTCCATGCTGATACGACAATTGGGAAAGTGATGTTGCTTGGTTGAAGCAACGGTAATGATATCGTAACATTGAGCCCGGTGCAATATGTTCCAATTCGGCCGCATCTGTTAAATATGAGTTGTATTCTCTTAATATGATTCTATCTTCATTATTGATTAAGCTTTTAAAGTTGAGTCGCATACAAAATCTACTTTCTCGACATGATAACGAGTAAGTGTAATATTTGGAAATCTCGTTCTTGGTGTTGAGTTATATGGTTGTCCCGCATGAGTTGTATAAATGCTTTCTAAGAACTTATAAAGGTTTGAAGTCGTACCCTACCATTTATATCTCTAATAAAATTGAGTTTGATACTCAAATTCTCTTTGACATAATTAAGACATTCAATCCATATGAAATGGAAAAACATAAGGAGAAAGAGTTGGTTTCTTTCTTTTTTATTTATTTATATATTTATGTTTATTGCCTTTTCCTGTATAATTTCTATTGTGGTCGTGATTAGTATAATACAATAGTATTTTACAATATGCCTAATTGAAACCACCACTAATAGGAATTCTAAGACAATGATCGTGATATTTAGAATTGTAGGGATATTAGATGAATATATGAAATGAGTAGTCAAATTCCCTTATCCAGAATTTGCACCTTATTTCGTCCAACAAAAAATCGAGTTTTTCTTCTCCAATTTATCAGTTGCATGTGCACTAATAGTATGCAGACTTTTAGAGTAACACGTTCATCTTTGCCTTCGGGCCCTTGTGCTGAAATACTTGTCAATTTGCTCGGCTATATTTGGATGATACCAAAATTTATCTTTATTTTTCAACTGATTTGATTGTGACATACTAACAATTTACTTGAACTATTTAAATCCCTTGATAATCTGGTTGTTGTTATTCATAGTTCTCTAAAGTAAACTTTTAAATGTCTAAACTCTTTTCGAAAAAATTCATATTTAATGCAAGGTAAAAAATAAATAAAGAAATTCATGGATCAAAATTGACACTCGTAAGACAAGAACAACATTATTCTTCCTTTTGTTTTTTTCATTTTAAAGCTTAAACATACCAAATCGAATGGATGAAGGTGTTAAAGTTGCCCATATACAATTTGAATTGAGATTTTTTGTCATATTAAACTTTTGGTATACTAGAATTTTTTTTATATTTTCCCGTAGAACGGGGCTCCAATTTAATTTGGGAATTTAAATTATAATTAAAATTGGAGGAATAAATTTAAACTTTTTTTAAAAAAAAAATAGAGATGTGGAGTCCATCTATGTCAATTCATCAGTGACGAGCATATTGGACACGAATCATGATTAACATCAAGATTGAATGGACTTAAAAATATAATACGAGTAGTAAAATTGAGCAATTTCAAATAGTGCAAGTACAAATTTGACATTTTTTCCATTAAAAAATATGTAAAAGGACATATATGGTTTAAATGTATATTTCGGAGAATTGCGTATTAAAAGCCACTAATAAATTTCGAACAAGATGAACAAAAAATCTGTGGAAGAGGAAACGAGGAAAATCGAGGAAGAAGATTTATCAAGTGCAGTGCAGGCGACGGGCCCGTTAGATTCAGGAATGGCTGCTGCTTCCGCCACCGACGGCGTCGCTGCGACGGCACTACGGTCGGTACTTCATCGGATTCAACACGCCGCCGAACGTTCTGGCCGTAGATCGGACCAAGTACGGCTGGTGGCTGTAAGCAAGACGAAGCCGGTATCTCTTGTCAAACAAGTCTATGACGCCGGTCACCGTTCCTTCGGTGAAAATTATGTCCAAGAGCTCGTTGATAAGGCTCCTCAGGTAAAGGTTCTATGCTCGTGTGTGATTGCCTCTACATAATTTAAGCATGTGTTTATATGATTGATTGGTTTCCTTGATTTAATTGTTCTAGTTTGACTATAGGAATCACCCTATTAAGGTTTATTTCAGTCCAATACTAATAATTTACGAAAATTAGGGGTTAAATCTAATCCTACTCGGTTAACTAGTTTTATCTCAATTAACTGGTATCTCTTATGGGAATAATTCGCTTCCATTGTGTTCCTTTTAGCTAAGTATGGATAAATTTTAAGACATTTTAGATCTTTTGGAACAACTGCCCTTCATATGGTTTTAGGTCTTTTTAGTCTAGGAAAGTGTTTAAAACTAAAATTTGAATCTTTGTCTGTTTGTTGGTTGGGATACTCTGTGTGTATAGGATCATGAAGCTTTTGACCAGTAGCTTTGATTTTCTTTCTGAATGTCGCCAAGAGGAGATATGTTTGCTTTGATATTTTTGTAATTGCTCGATCTTGCTCATGCATATTGTCCGCTTTGTCCAGTGGACCTTACTGATTTGTCCCTTGAGTAAGTGACCTGCTGCTCCAGTGTGGGTTCGCCTAAGGTGTCATATACACTCCTTCAAAAGCTTGCTAGCTCATAAATCCGCCAACTATCCCAACAAAAAGATATTACTCCATTAAAGCGGTACTTGAATCTAACGAAGAAATGACTTTTAGAATACTGCCTGTATTGCCAAAGCTAGAGAGAAAAGTGGCTATTTGGTTCTTTCTCAGGATGGTCTGCAACACAAAGAGTGGCCTTTATTTATAGAAGTGCATGCCCACATTAAATGTCGCGATGCATCGTGAAGATGATGCATCACAGGACTTTGGGGTCATGATGTGTCACAAAACTTTGGGGGCCTGATGCCGTCGTGAAGAGGAGCATGACACGCCGCAACTGTGATGTGTCGTGAAGTGGTCACTATTCGTCGTGAAGAAGAGCATGACGTGTCGCAACCATCTTGTTTTTTCCCCTTTATTTGCTTTATTCATGGTATTTTTTTTCCTGCAAAACATTGTTAGAATTGTACAGGGAATTGATATATTATATAAATT